AATTTATCACTTTTTTATAACATGCTAGTAATTAGGGTTTGTATGGAAAGACTAAAACCAATACTTAGAAAACCCTAATTCAAGACAAAACAAGCATGAAAACAATACACTTGCACACAAGCACCTCTAGGGTTATTCCACTTGGTTGCCTTATACAAAATGACCATATTACGCATGTAAGGTATTTTAGCAAAAACAAGCAATTACAAGATCATAGTCCCTCGATGACGCTATCTAAGTTATCTTTCAAATGATCTTAGTTCCTCAAAAAGAATGCTAAGATACTTTACAATATTGCTAATCATGGTTATACGATGACCCACGCTCATCCCGTTTACATCTAAAGATAGGGTTACTTGCCAAATCAATGGTAAGACAACAATGTCAAAAGAAAAGAAAATGAACAAAAAAGACTTTTTGAGTAGGTAGAATGCTCCTAATCACTTGCTCAAATTTCAAACAAACATCCTTGCTATTTTCAAAACAAGCACCTGCACTTTCAAAACATCTTATAAAACTTGAAAACTTTTTCAAAAGATCAACATCTTTGTATACATTCTTAGAACGAGAATCATTACAAAGATTGCCTAAACAATGGCCTCTTTACAAAATACTTCAAAACCATACAAAGCACAATTTCAAACAAAAGCTAGTGATCTAGCAAGTAACTAAGAGCCCGTGGAAAACCATGGATGAAAAGGGTGCTAATATGTTCCCTTTTCATAATCTACCCCCCGAACTCAAGAAATAATCTCAAAGGTCTTTCTTGTACTTTTTCATCATTCCTTTTGGATAAAAGAAAAGTCGGTGGCGACTCTTGCTAACCGTAACATTTATGATCAAACGCAAAACCATCAAGTCAATTCTCCCACCGTATCACACTCTCCTTCGTAGCAAGCGCCTTCACATTCTCTTTCACTGAACTCTAACGTTTCCTTTTCTGGAACCCTAATTTACAGGGACTAAAATTAAAATTGGGAAATGACTTTTGATGGTCTTTTCTCGGGGGAAAATATGTTATTCACGTGTAATAATGAAAACAATATAAAAATATATATATGCCAACTCATCACCGTCTGTCCAAATAAATTTTTTTAACGGAACTTAGACAACATAGGTGCCAACAAGAAATGGACATATGAGGACCCGTATAAAAAAATTTATGGACCAAATTCAAAAATTCTCTATCCTACATAGACCAAAAGACTATTTAAATCTAATATAATATTTATAAAATCGATCTTATTTATTGCACGATTCAGCTGCACATGTGTGGAGTGTGTGTAATATAATCTATTACTTAAAGAAATTATATAACACTAAATTAAAATCTAACCATATTTACATCAACCAAACATCTATTTATATTAAGGCAAATTAAAGAGTTCTCCTTTTTTTTTTTGAAAGGAAGGCCTTAAGAGTTGAATCATAAGATATTGACATCTACATGATTTATAATCGAATTATTCTTACAAAATACTTTCTAATTAACATTTACGATTTGAGTTCTTTTACCTATGAAGAAATCCCATCTAATAAGCATCTTATTTGAAATAAAAATGATGAATATTAAGAAGAGATAATATAACTATATAAACTGCATCTCTCTTTACTTTTATTTAAAAACAATTGAGTGTTATTGAAATATAATTATATTATTCTAAAAACCACTAATGAATGAGTGTTGTTTAATGGTAAAGCCCACTTATGAACCAAATTAATAAATTATTGTGAATACTTTTGAACCAATAATCATTTTAATGAGATGAAATTTAAATGAGTCTCATTAAATTTATGTGAGACCAATGCAATTTAAATATCAACCAATTAAAAAACATGTCTTGAGAAAAGTGTCTTAATATCACTTCTCTAACTGGCCATATAGGATTTGTCACTTGTACTTACATGAAACATGCATGAGTGTTCTTAGAAAGCATCCCCAAATAACTATTATTGGCAACTACCTTTGAACCAAGTAATACACACACCTTGTTTGTCTTGTGTTATGTCTTCAAATCACATAACTTTGAATAAGTGATTGTGAACTCACACTTATAAACGACAATCATTGTCAAAACAAACACATCTTCTTAATACAATCTTGGATGCCATGTCACACAATCCACACTTACTTCATTTTTCCATGACTCTTACTTCAAATTAATTTTATAGTTCTCAAATTTAAAACTTGCTTGTTCTTTTATACTTCACTTTCTTCTAATAAACACAATCTTAATCTTTAATCAGTAAAATTGAGATCGAATAATTCGATTAAATAAACAATAATAATTCGAAAGAATTATATCTTTTAATTTTAAATTACAGATGATATAACGAGTTTTATTGAAATAAGAATGTCGAAAACCTCAATTACAATAATTTAAAAAAAATTAATTTGCAAAATCATTTTCTCCTAAAGAAAAATATATCACAAAGTTATTCAATCCAATTGAAGAAATTAGAGAAAAAAGAGAAAGAGGGGAAAATGAAAATTTTTAATAAGAGAAGACCAAAAAAAAAAAAAGAAAAAAGAAAAAAGAAAAAGAAGAAACAAAGGAGAGGAACAACAAACACTCTTAGCAGAGATCGAGCTATACACGAAGAAGCAGAGACCAAAAATTTCAATTTTCACACAAAATTTAGCAGAAAAATTGAATTTTGAAGAAATTAACAGAGAGAGAGAGAGAGAAAGAGAGAAATTAACGAAGAAGCTTCGAAGATTCGAAAGAAATTGAAGTGAAGTTCGAGATTTCTATTCAATTTTCTGAACTTCGCTAAGGTCAGAGTTCAATCAATGTATACTTTTGTCTCTTCATTCTGCTTCATTCCATTCGAATTTTGTGATTTCTCGTTTTTTTTTTGTAATTGGAAAAAAAATCTGATTTTTATATTTTTTGCTTTGCTCAATTTTGTTGAATTCAGTGATCTCTTGATTATACCAAGTTTGGAGCTTTTGGGATTTCTCGAAGCAATGAGGGTTTTCGGGTTGATGCAAGTGATGTAATGTTCGCTTCGTTTTGTTCCACGCGAGTATGGTGTTTCGGACCCTTTTGTTTGATTTTTCAAACTTAGGGTTTTGATTTGCTATTGAATTCGTTGAATTGGGTTTTGTTTAAGGGATTTTGTGGTTTGGGTTAGTGTGATTTTTTAGCTGTTTGATCTTTAGGGTTTTGTGATTTGGGGAAATTGAGATTTGGTGTTGCATTTTTTTAGTGTTTGAAATTTGGGCATGAGAGTAGCTTTATTGAGGTTCAAAATTGGTGCTTTAGGTTGGGTTACTGTTATTAGAATGATTTGTTTATCTTCTGCTAGTTTGTGTATGCAGAAGATGTGGCAGTTGATTTGTGTTCAATGATGTAGGAGAGGGTAAGTTTTGGGTTATTTGGAAATAGAAATAAACAAGTGCGATTGGAATAAATTTAGGTTACTGGTGAGTGATTGAGTGGGTTGTTTTCTGATTTTGTTGGAAGGTGTATGAGAAATGCAACCCCAACAGAGTTCGAGAATTGATTTGGGTGAGTTGAAAGTACATATTGTAAAGAAGGTTGGACCGGATAAGTCGAAGCGGTACTTTTATTACCTTAACAGGTTTTTGAGTCAGAAGTTGAGCAAGAATGAGTTTGATAAGTTGTGTTTCCGGGTACTCGGGAGGGAGAACCTTCCGTTGCACAATCTTTTTATAAAGTCGATTTTGAAGAATGCTTGTGAAGCCAAGACCCCGCCATCAGTCCATCCATCAGGTTCTTCAAAATCAGGAACACGTGTTACTAATTTGTCTCCTGGTAGAGAAGATGGACACGAACAAAGTGTTGCTAACTTCCAAAATCATAATGCTTCCATTTGGCCAAATGGGGTTTTTCCTGTGTCTCCACGTAAGTTACGGTCTGGAATGCGTGATCGGAAGCTTAAAGACAGACCAAGCCCCCTTGGGCCAAATGGGAAAATTGATTATGTTTCACATCACTCCATGGCTACAGAAGACGGTGATGTTAAGGTTGACATGGAGAATGGAACTCTTGCTCTCTGTGATTATCAGCGGCCAACACAGCAGCTTCAAACAGCTGCTGAGCTACCTAAGAATGTTATTGCTGATGGTATGCAACGACTTGCAAAGAAACCAAGAATACATGGCAAAGGGCTGACTGAAATGTCAACCGCGGAAGATGGAATGGAGGCGGAGCAGTTAAACCACCTCAATTTTTCCAGAAATCCGTTGATAGCACCACTTGGGATTCCTTACTGTTCTGCAAGTGTGGGTGGGGCCCGCAAAGCATTGCCGGTGAATAGTGCTGGTGATTTTGTTAGTTGTTCTGACAGTGGTAGGTTATCTGATCCGGATACGTTGAGAAGGCGCATGGAGCAGATTGCAATGGTACAAGGTCTTGGAGGTGTTTCTACGGAATGTGCAAGTATGTTGAATAGTGTATTGGATGTGTACTTGAAACGATTGATCAAGTCATGTGTTGATTTAGTAGGGGCTAGATCTGCAAATGAGCCGTCGAAGCTCCCAATCTCAAAGAAACAGATTCAGGGGAAGGTCGTCAATGGCATGATGCCACACAATCATTTACAAGTGCAGAATGCTGGTAGGTTAGCAGAATCTGAACCTGAACACAGACCCCAGTTCTCGGTATCTTTGCAAGACTTTAAAGTTGCGATGGAGCTAAATCCGCAGCAACTTGGAGAAGATTGGCCACTACAATTGGAGAAAATTTCTATGCAATCTTTTCAGGAATAACACATCAATAATTTTTTTTCCTTCTTTTTCATAAGCAAAGATTGGATCTGTTTCTTCTGATTCTGATGGCTCACCGGCACTTTATGATTAACGGTGTAATTAACTCTGATCTTATCATCAAGATGAACCAGATGACTCATACACCGGGAATTTCTAGCCCTTCCAGGATTGAGTGCTTGTTTTGAGCTTCCAAATGTTTTATCGATGTGAAGATCTCAGATGAATCAGATATATATTTAACTGCAACCAAGGGTATTATCAAATGAAACCCAGGATTGGTTGCACTGTTGTATGTTTAGCATTGGTATTATTGGCTGTATTGTTGCTATTGCAAGAGATCTCAAGGCTTTTGTTTGCATTACAGTCAATGAGGAGACTTAGAAAAAGTTTTGCAGGGATACTATTGTGTAGCTGGGATCAAGGGACCGGGACATGTATAAGAGCCGAAGCTTGCTCTGTATGTATTTTTAGAATATGATTATTAATTGAAATTCGATATTAATAACACACCAAGTTCTATTGAAATTTCCTTGATGATATTGATATCAGTTTTATGGTTGAATTTCATGGCCCCGAAATAGTCCAATATCTGAAGTAGTTTTTTGTTTTCTATTTTATTCATAATGTAGATCTGTAAGTTACATGTCTCTTGTAGTTCAAATAACTTTGGTGACAATAAATGAGTTTTTGATCATATGTTATACCATTAAATTTTGGCATCAACTTAATATACAATATCTTGTACTTTTCTTGTAAATGAATATTCCAATATCTTCTGTTTTAAATCTCATTACTTTTATCTGGAAAATAGTTTACTACTTTTGGAATTATTAGAAATATCACACACTCGTTCCGCTTTTAAGTGCAAGTAGAGGATAGGTTTCTCAAGGCGTGCCTGACCGTAAAAATAGTTTACTTAATCGTAATTATTTTTTACGTCGTGCACATGAATGATTGCGACTTGTTGACTGTGAAAATTTTTACACTGACCTTGCATGGTAATTAAACTTTTGTTTTAATATGTATATACTTCCAAGGGCTGTGTCTGTATCTGAGTGGCTTTTCTGCAGTGCATCATCCTGACATGTTTCTTCTGCAGGAGCTTGTAATTTTGAAGTTCTAACATACAGCAAAGAACTGTTTCTAACTAGTTTTGTACAGTGACTGTTGTATAGTCTAAAGTTCTGCAAATAGCTGCTGCTGCTGCTGCCATCTATGGAAGTTGGAGTCAACCAGAAGTAGCTATTTGCAAATGTCAAAGAGTCTGAAACTTTTCTACAAGTGTTCTATATTGATTACTACTGAATTAATTGAAATGTTTAAACATTTAAGGGTAGAAAAGGACACTGTTTAGATTTTACTGATTACTTACACACTTTAATGTGCAGCATTATCAAAGTGGTAGAACAGTACAGTTTGTGATTGTTCATTGGATTGAACTCACTATAGGAGCAGCGGAGACATGGTTTTGTGTGTTTTTTTTAGCATGAAACAGACCAAAAGCACATAGTATTATGTCTCTCTCACGTGTACTGTACACAGTTAACTTATAGTATTAAAAAAGAAATAAATTTGGAATTCACAAAAATGTTTTTTGAATTTTAAAACATGAAGTGTTTTTGAGGCATCTAGATTATAAAAGTCGAAACATTTATTTAGCCACTAAAATCCGTCTTTCCTCCATTTCATCATTTTTTTTTTTCAATTTTAAATCCTTAAATTCTCAAATATGAACGTCTTGTGTTTTGCTCAATTTAGAACAAAATTTTAGGAATCATCCATTATTTTTTTTATTTTGAAATATGTCAGTATATTTTTGTTTGATTACATGATTTAATGCATTATACTTTTCTTCTTATGGGTTATTGATATTGTTCGAATAGTAGAACTCGAACACGTTTTTAGAGTTGTTGTCGGATTGTAGAATCTGGACAGGTCTCAAACACACATTCAGAATTCGAACCATGATAGTTCATAATATTGAGCTTAGGTTTATATAATTTTGTTGAGGACCCACAAACACAAAGACTCTGTTGCTACCTTCGAATCCCTAAGATTGACGCTGGATATTTTAATCCAACAAATACAACTCTTCAAGATAAATAACACTCATTCAATCAGAACAAGTAACATACAACAGAAAACTATCAGAGCATACATTATCATGTACAACAACATTCATTAGAGTTGTAACACAGCAGCAGAAAATCAGTAGCATCGAAAAATATGCCACACATTAACAATGTTACTTAACCAATCAGTCATTCATGCAATCATTCACAATCTTAGTCACACATGTTACTCAGGCAACATATAGTTAGTAGCATACAATCCTACAAATTAATAATTATGAACATGCAATCATTCATATACTTAGTCATGTATAACACAAACAATTAGTAGTTAGTATCAGAATATACATAATACTACTAACACAACAACACACTCCAAAAAAGCCAGATGTCTTGCCCGATGCTCCAGCAAGTGAGCATGTCATTAGTACTTACATGAATCAGTCAGTACTAAACAATTATGTATTACCTCTTAGTTAGTCACATTAACTAACATAGATCACACCATAACACTACTCTCCCCTTTTGCCATAATTTAGAAAGGGCTAGCCCTTCAAAATAGTAACCAGAGGTCACTCATACATGGGTTAGTATGTTAGTACATACACAATCAGATCATGAATAGAACAACCAGAACAACACCAAGAGATGCACAAGAATTAGATTAGTTATTCAAACAATCCTTAAGAGGTTATAGAGCACTTACAAATTCAAAACAAACATGTCCAGAATCAATGGCCTCCAAACCGAACAAAAAACTCCAATATTCAAGATCAAAAACTCCCTTCAACAAGGAATCCTTTAGTTACATGCCTAACTGAATTCATGAAGGTATCCCAGTCTTCTTCTGACTCAGAATCACTTGTTTCCGTTATCTCTTCAACAACAACTTCTATCTTTATTATCTTCTCAAGATTCAAATTTGCAACTATTCTCTTCTTAGTGCCAGATGTTCCACCAAAAGATTCAACAATGGTGATGTTATTCCTAACATCTCCAACTTATTTGGACTTATTTAAGCAAGACTCCATCATATCCAACATCTTTAGGAACCTCAATTTCTTTAA